TAAATTAATAAAATACAGTAAGTTTCATTCTTTATAAAAAATTCTTACTAGTTTGATACAGTATAGTATGTGATAAAAACAAAGGCTTTCAAATCAGACTAACTTAGATAAAATCTTTGCATGTCTCTTTGTCTTGGACTACATGTCTTAGTCTGTTTTGGCTTCTGTAACAAAATGCCACAGGCTGGGTGGCTTATAAATAACAGAAATTCATTTGTCACAGTTCTGGAGGCTGGGAAATCAAAGATCAAGGCACCAGCATGGTTGTGTTCTGATGAGGACCCTCTTCTTGGTTCATAGCTAGCACTTCCTCACTGTATCCTCACATGGTGGAAAGGGCAAGGGATCTCTTAGTTCCTTTTGAAAAGGCACTAATCCCATTTTATAAAGGCACTAATTACATCCTAAAGACCCAAGGTGACCTGTGTCCTTAAAAGAAGAGGAAAATTTGGATCCAGAGACACAGACACACAAAAAAGCCATTTGAAGTTGGAGCAAAGATTGGAATGATGTGTCTACAAACCAAGGAATACCAAGGATTGCAAGCAGAAATGAGAAACTAGAAGGGAGGCGTGGAACAGATTCTCTCTCTCAGCCTTCAGAAGGAATCATCCCTGCCAGCACCTTGATCTCAGACTACTAATCTCTAGAACTGTGAGAGAGTAGTTGGCTGTTGCATTAAGCCACCTAGTTTGGGGTACTTGTGATCGCAGCCTCAGGAAACTAATATGCCCCATATACTTGAGAGTTAAGAAATATGCTTCTAAATGGTTTATATAAATAAATTATTTATATAAATAAACCAGAAAATAATAAAGGAAGTTAAATATTTTGAGCTGAATGATAATACCATATATCTACACCTGAGAGATTAAACCGTTACAGTAGTTGGAGGCGGATTATAGTCTTAACTCAATAAATCAGAAAAGAAGAAAGGGTGGGGGTCTGGGTGATGAGCACTGAGGGGGGGACTTGATGGGATGAGCACTGGGTGTTATTCTATATGTTGGCAAATTGAACACCAATAAAAAATAAATTTATTTAAAAAAAAAGACAAGAAGAAAGTATAAAGTATACCCTACGAACCAGCAATTGCACTGCTGGCGATTTACCCCAAAGATACAGATGCAGTGAAACGCCGGGACACCTGCACCCCAATGTTTATAGCCATGTGTATGTCTTCTTTGGTGAAATTTCTGTTCATGTTTTTTGCCCATTTCATGATTGGATTGTTTGTTTCTTTGCTATTGAGTTTAATAAGTTCTTTATAGATCTTGGATACTAGCCCTTTATCTGATATGTCATTTGCAAATATCTTTTCCCATTCTGTAGGTTGTCTTTAGTTTTGTTGACTGTTTCTTTTGCTGTGCAGAAGTTTTTATCCTGATGAAGTCCCAGTAGGTCACTTTTGCTTTCATTTCCCTTGCCTTCACAGATATATCTCACAAGAAGTTGCTGTGGCCAAGTTCAAAAAGGGTGTTGCCTGTGTGTTCTCCTCTAGGATTTTGATGGATTCTTGTCTCACCTTTAGATCTTTCATCCATTTTGAGTTTATCTTTGTGTATGGTGAAAGGGAGTGGTCTAGTTTCATTCTTCTGCATGTGGCTGTCCAATTTTCCCAGCACCATTTATTGAAGAGACTGTCCTTTTTCCAGTGGATCGTCTTTTCTGCTTTGTCGACTATTAGTTGACCATAGAGTTGAGGGCCCATTTCTGGGTTCTCTGTTCTGTTCCATTGATCTATGTGTCTGTTTTTGTGCCAGTACCACACTGTCTTGATGACCACAGCTTTGTAGTACAACCTGAAATCCAGCATTGTGATGCCCCTGGCTCTGGTTTTCTTTTTCAATATTCCCCTGGCTATTCGGGGTCTTTTCTGATTCCACACAAAGCTTAAGATAATTTGTTCCAACTCTCTGAAGAAAGTCCACGGTATTTTTATAGGAATTGCATTAAATGTGTAAATTGCCCTGGGTAGCATTGACATTTTCACAATATTAATTCTTCCAATCCGTGAGTATGGAATAGTTTTCCATCTCTTTGTGTCTTCCTCAATTTCTTTCAGGAGGGTTCTATAGTTTTTAGGGTATAGATCCTTTACCTCTTTGGTTAGGTTTATTCCTAGGTATCTTATGCTTTTGGGTGCAATTATAAAAGGGATTGAGTCCTTCATTTCTCTTTCTTCAGTTTCATTGTTAGTGTATAGAAATGCCACTGATTTCTGGGCATTGATTTTGTATCCTGCCACACTGCCAAATTGCTGTATGAGTTCTAGCAATCTTGGGGTGGAGTCTTTTGGGTTTTCTATGTACAGTATCATGTCAACCGCAAAGAGGGAGAGTTTGACTTCTTTGCCAATTTGAATGCCTTTTATTTCTTTTTGTTGCCTTATTGCTGAGGCTAGGACTTCTAGTACTATGTTGAATAGCAGTGTGAGAGTGGACATCCCTGTTGTGTTCCTGATCTTAGAGGAAAGGCTCCCATGAGAAAGATATTTGCTGTGGGCTTTTCATAGATGGCTTTGAAGATGCTGAGGAATGTTCCCTCTATCCCTACACTCTGAAGAGTTTTGATCAGGAATGGATGCTGTATTTTGTCAAATGCTTTTCTCTGCATCTATTGAGAGGGTCATATGGTTCTTGTTTTTTCTCTTGTTGATATGATCTATCATGTTGATTGCTTTATGTGTGTTGAACCAGCCTTCCATTCTGGGGATAAATCCCACTTGGTCATGATGAATAATCTTCTTAATGTATTGTTGGATCCTATTGGCTAGTATCTTCTTGAGAATTTTTGCATCTGTGTTCATCAGGGATATTGGTCCATAATCCTCCTTTTTGGTGGAGTCTTTGGTTTTGGAATTAAGGTGATGCTGGCCTCATAAAATGAGTTTGGAAGTATTTCGTCCCTTTCTGTCTTTCGGAACAGCTTTAGTAGAATAGGTATTGTTTCTTCTTTAAATGTTTGATAGAATTCCCCTGGGAAGCCATCTGGCCCTGGGCTTTTGTGTCTTGGGAGGTTTTTGATGACTGCTTCAATTTCCTCCCTGGTAATTGGCCTGTTCAGGTTTTCTATTTCTTCCTGTTCCAATTTTGGTAGTTTGTGGTTTTCCAGAAATGCGTCCATTTCTTCTAGATTGCCTAATTTATTGGCATATAGCTGCTCATAATATGTTTTTAAAATCATTTGTATTTCCTTGGTATTGGTTGTGATCTCTCCTTTTTCATTCGTGATTTTATTAATTAGAGTCTTTTGTCTTTTGTTTTTAGTAAGGCTGGCTAATGGTTTATCTATCTTATTAATTCTTTCAAAGGACCAACTCCTGGTTTTGTTGATCTGTTCCACAGTTCTTCTGGTCTCTATTTCACTGAGTTCTGCTCGAATCTTTATTAACTCTCTTCTTCTGCTTAGTGTAGGTTTTATTTGCTGTTCTTTCTCCAGTTCCTTTAGGTGTGAGGTTAGCTTGTGTATTTGAGTTTTTTCCAATTTTTTGAGGGATGCTTATATTGCAATGTATTTCCCTCTTGGGTCTGCTTTTGCTGTATCCCAAAGATTTTGAACGGTTGTATCTTCATTTTCATTAGTTTCCATGAATCTTTTTAATTCTTCTCTAATTTCCTGGTTGACCCTTTCATCTTTTAGCAGGATGCTCTTTAACCTCCACATGTTTGAGTTTCTTCCAAATTTCTTCTTGTGATTGAGTTCAAGTTTCAAAGCATTATGGTCTGAAAATATGCGGGGGACAATCCCAATCTTTTGATATTGGTTGAGACCTCATTTGTGACCCAGTATGTGGTCTATTCTATAGAAAGTTCCATGTGCACTTGAGAAGAATGTGTATTCAGGTGCATTCAGATGTAAAGTTCTGTAAATATCTGTGAAATCCATCTGGTCCAGTGTATCATTTAAAGTTTTTGTTTCTTTGGAGATGTTATGCTTAGAATATCTGTATTTGCAGAAAGTGCTGTGTTGAAGTCTCCCAGTATTAGAGTATTATTATCTAAGTATGTCTTTACTTTGGTTATTAATTGATTGATATACTTGCCAGCTCCCACATTAGGGGCATAAATATTCTTGATTGTTAGGTCCTCTTGTGGGATAGATCCTTTAAGTATGATTATAGTGTCCCTCTTCATCTCTTACTACAGTCTTTGGTATAAACTTTAATTTATCTGATATGAGGATTGGTACCTCAGCTTTCGAGGACCATTTGAATGATAAATGGTTCTCCAACCTTTCATTTTCAGGCTGTAGGTGTCCTTAGGTCTAAAATGAGTCTCTAGTAGACAGCAAATAGATGGATCTTGCTTTTTTATCCAGTCTGAAACCCTGTGTCTTTTGATGGGATCATTTAGCCCATTCACGTTCAGAGTTACTATTGAAAGATATGAATTTAGTGTCATCGTAATACCTATTCAGTCCCTGTTTTTGTGAATTATTTCTTTGGGCTTTCTCTTTCTTTTACAGAGTCCCCCTTAATATTTCTTGCAGAAAAGAAAAAATATTTCTTGCAGAGCTGGTTAGGTGGTCTAAAGAAATAAAATCTTCTAAAAAATGTGTTAAATACTGAAAATAAATAAAGAGAAGGAATATAAAGTAAACCCAAGAATGTAGAATGCATCATGAAGTAAGATCTGATATCAATGAAATAAAAACAAAAATACCATAGCAAATACTAGATGAATCTTAGGAACATAATGTTGAATATTTGAAAAAGCACATTGCACGAGAATACATTTACATAGTACTCCATTTACATAGATATTTGAAGCAAATAAAACTAAACATGTTGTATATGGTAAAACATTCTAGGTAGAATTTATGTCTAAGCTAGGAGGGAATGGCATGGGATGGGAGAATAAGTGATGAGGGTAAAGAAAGGGAAGGAAGGAGAGAGGAAGGAAAGAAAGCGTGAACTTGTATGTTAACCTTTTGCGATTCTCCTTTTATGATTTTTCCCATTCATATCCTCTACCCATTTTCCTATTTTTAAACACAAGGTTATTGCTGATATGGAGGCCCAAGTTCATAAGCTGAGAGAAGAGCTGATTCACGTGAACTCCCAGCGGAAACAGCAGCTAGTAGAGCTCGGTCTCCTTCGTGAAGAGGAAAAACAAAGAGCTGCGAGGGACCACGAGACTGCTGTCTACAAACTGAAGGCTGAGTCAGAAAAGATGAAGATGGAGCTGAAAAAGACTCATGCTGCTGAGACAGAAATGACTTTGGAAAAGGTGAGCTATCTAGCTGAGTTTGTGCAGGCCCCTGAAACCTGTGCTTGGACCACACTGCTGCCACCTTGCACCTAATCTCAAAAAGGTGATAGGCATAGAACTACTCCTGAAATTTACCAACTGTTCAAATGAGCAATTTAAGTATCTTGCTGTATGTTTAAGCTCCACAAAAATAATCCAGGGAGTTAGATTTCCTATTTTCCCTTAATGTCCATTGAGAGGATAGTGTGGAATATCCCATTCCATAATGATTAAATGCACATTGTGATAAAACAATGTATAATATTGTCCAGTATTGTACTGAGTAGGCATATTTGGGCTGTAGCCCTAAGTTTTCCTAGGTTAAGTCTAGGTTTCAGATCTTTCTTCAGTTTTCTAATAGTCATTTCTCTATTTCACGATCTTTTGTAACTTTGTAACAGCATAATGTAAATGATGACATAGTTTCCCAGATTACTATTTCAAATTAAGGAAAGTTTCTTTTGAATTGATACATTTTTGAAATATATGTCAATATAATGTTTGCACATCTTGGGTTGACTGAATTTCCAGGTACAATCTCAAATATTCTTTCAATGTTCTAGAAAGGAAGAAACTTTTTAATTGGGTAGTAAATGTGAATTGCTATTAATCATAGCAACTATCAATTGCCTCTTTAGTTCCTTTAGACCAATCTAATCTTGAGATCAAAGAACTTGAAAATGGTAATCTAAGAATCTTCCAGTTCTGCTTACTTTTTTTCACCTTTTGTTCATCTTTAAATGTTATGCCTTCATAAAACACACACCACCATTCTAAGCACTGCTCCATTGGTTTTACATGGGTTGTGATCCTAAGGTGCTTCTTTTATAGTATCTTAATTTATCTGAGACTCAGATTTCAGCAGACTTTGCCCTTGGCAGCATAGTTCTGAACCCAGAAATAAATAAGAAGAAAATTCTAAAGAGGCAGAAGTGAGCCTGGCTTCTTAGAGGAAAGCAAGGAGGCTGATATGGCCAGAAATGGAGGCCAAGGAGAAGGAGGAGGAGGAGAAGGAGGTAATGAAGTCAGGGGAGGAACCTCAGGGTTTTTGCTCTGACTCTCTGGGAGTCAGGAGGCTTCACACGTTTTGAGCAGTGAAATAGAATGTGTTGGTTCACATTTGAATAGGGTCTCTCTGTGCATGCTGAGAAGAGACTGAATTGAGGACAAGGAAGGAAGTAGGAAGACTAGTTAAAAGGCCACTGCCAGAACTTAGACCAGTTGACAGAGGCTCTGCCTGGGCAGCAGCAGCCAAGGTTGAAACTTGATGAGAGTCAGATTAGTTTCTAAAGGTGGAACTGATGGCATCCTCTATTGGTTCTGATGTGAGGCGGAAGACAGAAAGAGAGAGGCATGCTGTTGAGCAGTCAAGGGTGATTCCGAGGAGACTTGCTGGAGCCAGTGGACCAATGGAGTCAGCCTTCTGGCAGCTGAAGGAAGATGGCTGAAGCAGGAAGCGGGGCCACTGGTGGTGGGTTCCAGTTGAGATGCCTTTTACACATCTTAGAAAAGTTCCTTATCTGGACAGTTTTACTCTCCGACGATAGCAGATCAATGAGACTGATGAAGAGTGAAATTAGTATTCTCTCTGTTGACTCTTTTTTTTTTTTTTAAGACTTATTTATATACTTTAGAGGGAGAGCATGTGCAAGCAGTGGGGAAGGGCAGAGGGAGGGGGAGACAAGCAGACTCCACACTGAGCAAAGAACCCCATGCAAGGCTCCATCCCAGGACCCTGAGGCAAAAATCACATGTTGAATGCTCAACCGACAGAGCCCCCCAGGCACCCCTCTCTCTGGGGACTCTTATCATGCCTTGCCCCTTGGCTCCATTTGTCTCTGCCAACAGCTCGAGGTATTTCTAAATGTTCTTAAATGGCATGTGTACCAGTGCACACTAATTTAAGGAAATTGGACATAACAAAGCCAGACTTATAAAACATACAAGTTTGGCCTTAATTTTCTTTCATTATATATTCACATTTCAAATGTGTCTCTTTAGTAGAAGATGAACTTTTTCCAGTATAGGTTTATATGTGTTGTAACTAATTAGCAGGTTACAGAAAATGAAAAAAAAAATCAGTATTAGAAACCATTAGTGAGGGGATCCCTGGGTGGCGCAGCGGTTTAGTGCCTGCCTTTGGCCCAGGGCGCGATCCTGGAGACCGGGGATCGAATCCCACGTCAGGCTCCCAGTGCATGGAGCCTGCTTCTCCTTCTGCCTATGTCTCTGCCTCTCTGTCTCTCTCTCTCTGTGACTATCATAAATAAATAAAAATTAAAAAAAAAAAAGAAACCATTAGTGATTCATTTAGCAAACATTTCTGGAAACTCTTCTATAACCCAGAAAGGCATTATCCCAGACACTGTGGGGATACACAGGAAAAAGAAAAAAAGGCACTGTTCTCAAGGAATCATAAAATAATAGTGACCCCAAGACATACACCCGTACAAAAATGACTATGATGCAAAGTGAAGTGTGAATTGGGGGAAATTATTCCTATTAAGGTAATGAGGGAAAATTAACTGGAAGTGATGTTGCTTTTACTAGATATCAGTAGTAGATATGCAAGATGGCATTCTAAGCCAAAGGAATAACAACAGCAAGAGCAAACAAAGCCATTTACATGCATGGCATAGAGGTTAATCAAAGGGAGTGATTAGTAATCAGGCTAAAAGATAGCTCAGGATCACTGAAAGTCTCCCAAACTGTAGTAGTATTTTAGCTTCATTGGGTAAACAGTAAGGAGCTGCTGAAAGTTGTTAAGCCCTGAATGTCAAGATTCAAGTGTTTCTTAGGAAAATCTTTCAGATGCCCTCTCAGTAGGAGTTGGTGGGGACCAGATTCACAGCAGGCAGGAGGCCCCTGAGGGCATGTTTGAGGTGCTGGAGGGCAGTGAGAGCATAGCAGTGACAAAGGGGACATGTTTGAAAATCATTTCAGAAATGGCATTGATTAAAGTTGTGAGGTTGATTAGACTTGTGAAATATAACCCGACTGTTCATAAATCAGGAAGGTAGAAGTCTGGTTTGGGGAGGAAGAAGGTATGTACCGCGATGAACTTGTTGGCTTTGAAGTGCCTCTGCTCTGCCCAGCTGTGATGTTCTCTAGCTGTGGAAGGAACGTTTGTAGATAATCATAAGAGAAGGCAGGACTGGAACAAACAGCTGTAAGGGTCACCCACAGAGAGGGCCTGTTCAAGAGAGGGTTACAGGAAGAAAACAGGCAGCTGTGAAGGAAGAATTTCATTGAAGAGGTCAGGGAGGAAATAGTCAAAGAAGGGTCCTCAAGGTAAGAGGAATCTGAGAAGAATGTATTTTCATGGAAACAAAGGAAGAGAATATTTAGAAAGGCGGATTTTCAAGAATGTGACAGAAAATCAGGAAGGCTGAGGGTGGAGGAAAGTTCCCGGGATTTGAAAGTGAGAAGGCATTGATGATCTTGGATAGAGCCCTGAAAGGAATACTGTGGACAGAAACAGAGTCTCAGTAGATAAGTGTGGCAGTGGAGATTCGTGAATATGTCTGGTATTAAAAGGAAGGTGTAGTTCTTAAGGGAGTATATTTTTAGGCCGAAATTGTGTTGCAGTACACAAGAAGAGACTAATGGAGAGCAATTGCTTAGTGATGCAGAGAGCCATAGACACTGGAGGGCCACCACCTGAGGCAGGAAGGTGTGGATGGAAGACCAGCACAGGCCCACCCTCACCCCTTGGCCACAGGCATCCAGCCTCTGAAGACCTTGGCCTGTTCCTGGAGTAGGCCTCGTGCTCTCCTTCCTCCAGGCCTTGACACCTGCCACCCCTCTGTCTGGGATGTTCTTCCCCCAGATTTTCTGTGGTCATCTTCCTCCTCCTCACTCTGTACTGCTCCATATCCTTCCCTGACCTCTCTCTCTAAAGTTGTGTCCAGCTCTACCACCTTCAGTGGTCCTATTGTCTTCATAGCTCATCTCATTATCTGGACTCAATCTTTTCATTTTTCTGATTGTTTATTTTCTATTCATCCCCATCCCCCACATTAGAATATAAGCTCTTTTAGCAGGACCTTGTCTGCCTTGTTCACTTCTGTACTGCTAATGTTTAGAAAACTTGGTACCTGATAGGTACCCTCCTAGCATATACTGAGTGAGTGAATTATAGGAGCCATGACTTCCAAGGAGGGAGGAAGGAAGGAGAGAACTGGTAAAGATACAAGGGGGTCTGTGATGAGACTTGCAAGGACCTTCTATCTGATATCATCTATGCTTTTAGTAAAGAATAGCATTCTTATGAGTAAGGAATTCCAGGAGAAGTGAAATAGCCAGGCTTTGGGCTGGGCTGGAATGTGGCTAGAAGGAAGCAGGTGTAAGGGAATTTGCCCAGATAGAATTGGAGTTCTGCAGATACAGGAGGGAGGATGGCAGCATGAGTCTGGAAGAATGGAACGCTCCTGAATTGAACTGAGAACCCAAGTAGCACAAGAAGATAGAAATGGGGTTTTAGCATGGTAGCACTTTAGCCCCCCTGGTTAAAGGGGCCAGCAGGGTTCATCAGGACATAGGAACGTGTTGGCAGATGGAGAGTCTGGAGAAAGGGAAGAGAGCGTTACCTAGGCTAGTGTTCAGTGCCATGAGTTTGGTTTTTGTTGAGTTGGTGGAATTAACCAATCCCAAGGTCCAATGGTAAAATACAAGTGCTGAGCTCTTAATGTGAAGAGCAATTTGTATTTCTGATTGACAAATGTTTTTACTTAACTAATGAAAGGAGTTCAGCATTTCTAAGTGCAGGAAGACCTGGCTGAGTTCCCTGAAAGCAGTCCTTGTGAAATGCTGGTTTCTAAAGCCCCAGGATCATGCGTTGGCGTCTCCTCCAAAGCAGACACTGATAAATATTGAGAAAATGAGAGAATGATGATGAACTGAGAAATTCAGCCTAGCTATGGGAATGGTAATATGAATAAATAAGACATTGGTTTTGATTCATCCACATTTGATTTCAA